TAACTTAATTAGCTAATCTTTTTATATAGATATATTAGAACTAGGGCTATAAATAAACGCGTAAATAGATTAAAACCAGGGTTTTAAGTAATCGCGTAGATAGATTAAAACCCTAGTTCTAATAGAGATAGAAAGACTACTATAAAAAAGTATATATTTTATTATATCTAGTAAAAAAGGGACTATATAACCTTTTTATAATAAGAGACTTAAGATATAGAAAAATAATATAAGGTAAATTATCGTAGATTTAGGGGAATATATAAATCTAATACTTATTTCTTATTAGTAGGTAGAATTCAGCACTATTCTAGTACTGAATTTTATAACTAATTAGAATAGGCTCTACTAATATATACAAAGTTTATTAGATAGTAAGAAATAGGTTAACGGGTTAACCTATAGGCTAATCTATTGACCTAAATAATTAGGTAAGAGTAATACCCTAAGATTTTTCTTTTTATCCCTAAAAAATTTTAACCTAACTAGCTAATATTATTATTTTATATAAATTTAGAAAAAATATTTAAAATAATTCTTTTATATAAATAAGACTATAATATATTTATATATTAATAAAGAAATATTAGATATTAGATTTATATCTATTTTATTATTTCTAATATATATAGTTTATTTATATAAAAAATAGAAGTACTACTATAGACTTTAAATATATATTTTTAGGTTTAGTATAAGAAATAGTTAACTAATATCTTCTTTTGCCTATATCTATCTATTATAAAATATAATTCTTATCTTAAAGTATTAAATTAATAAATTAATATATTATATATTTTAAATATATTATTACTATATAATATTCTTTTTATAAAGAGTTAGAATTATAAGTTATATTAGAACAAAAATAGTATTTAATAATAGTATATTATTAAAAAAGGTAAATAAATTATCTATCCTAATTAAGAAATTTATACTAAAATAGATTAAAAATAGGTTAACCTATTAACCTACAGGTCAACCTATAGACAGGTCAGGACTTTATTAACCTGATCTATGGGTCGTGGGTTTAGGTCATGGGTCAAGATCTTTGACCCATGGGACGGGTCTGTCTATGTCTAGGTAAGATCTCTTAACCTATAGATAGATCAAGATTTTTTTAACTTATTCTATAGATTAATAGATTAATCTATTTAATCTATTTAGATAGATACTTTATTAACTATATAATTTTTACAAATTATATTATTCTTAGCTATATTTTTAGGTACAACAACTATTTGTGCCGGCACCGCCGGATCCGGCGCCCCCCTCGATCGGGTTTGGCGTCCGCCCCCACCACCGCCTCGTTCAGTCTAGTCCGCCCTGATCGGGTTTGGCGTGCCGCTATACCTCAAGAGGCAATGGCTATCCACCGGCCCTCTTCGGTTTAGTCTTTCCCGGAGAGGATTAGCGCAATCCGCTATACTCGAACTGGTCTGGCGCGTCCGACCGCTTACCGCTGTAGTCCTCCTGACTATAAAACATCCGGTGCGTCGCTCGACACTCTCCCCTCCCACTCTCCCCGTCCTTCCCTCCCGGCGCCCTACCCGCTCATCCCCATCGCTGCGAAATGATATAGTATTTCCGGATCGCACGGCACGGGTACCCCTACCTCAGCTGAAAACCGTCGTCGTTATCCCCGCGGCCCCGTCTCTACCGACCACAAGTCCCGCAGTTCTACTCCCTCGTACTGGCTTCTATGACTCCTTGTCGGGACCAGCGGCCGTTATGCTCGTCTAGACAGGACCGTTTTCTTCTATGTTCTCACCGCGACCGTCGAAACTCGGATAACGACTTACACGAGATTGGGACCGCCTACGTTGATGGTGACGGATTCCGATAGCTGTACGGCAGACGCCGTTACTCGGACCTTGTCCTTGGTTTGCGCCGATCGTTATCTACGGCCAAACCTCCTATGGGGGCTATGGCCTCGCTCGGATATTATATGCAGCTGGGATGATGCCTTGGCTGATGCTAGGGTCTACGCCAACGATTGGCTCCCAATCGGTTCCCAGCAGGTTAGATGCTACTGTGAGGATGACTTGGTTGGATACTATAGGTAATTCCTACCTGCGCTAAGGAGACTCGTGCTTATCGAATACGGAAACGACCTCGTGCTAGCGAGGCGTAGCAGCGCAGTATGGACTCGTAGATGATACGTCTGTCTCTGGTCTAGGATCCTAGCCTAATAGCGAAATTGCCGTATGGCATAGTAATTATATCGGGTGACGTGTCGCGTTTTTTAGTTCTATTTGTCGGAGATGGACGAGATCGGATATCGGGAGGAAGCGAAGCAATGCGTGATCTAGTATGCCGTAGGTTTTGGTATAAAGATGATGTTTATTCCGGCTGTAAGGTCGCTTACTTACTATTGACCTTTCACTTTTATTTCTGATCGTATAATTTGCGTTATACTTTCTCTCTTAGGGTATTATATTATGGTTGCCGTCGACTTGGACAACATCGTGCAATACCAGCCACTTGTTACTAAGCCTCCTTGTGAGGCACTAGCATAAGTATATGACTCTATCTCCCGGGGTTCGGCGTATTCTGTTTTAGATACAAGGTTTTAGGTTCACCAAGCTCCGCCTTATATCCCGTGGTCTTCTCTCTATCCTCTCCCGCCTACTACACCCCTATAAGCGGATACCGACTCCTTAGGAGGTTTGCTCTCTCTATACCCTAGGACTGAGCTTGCAATAAATATCTTAGATAACGCGTTAAAAGAATTTTCACCCCGGGATCTAGATGGATATTATCGAGCATGGACCGAACTCGATCACGAGCTGGGCGGTGTAGAGGTTATGCGAGACCTGGGTTCTACCGATAGTCGAAACTAAGGTTGTCTTGTCGGTGGTCCTTATGGGCAGGATATTTGCCACTAGTGCAAAACCAGTAAGCACGAACGGTTCTCCCCCCTGCCTCTCCTGAGTTTCGTCTTCCGGTAATCTACTACCGCCCCGCCTTTCTAGAATCGACCAAAATAACTATTAGGCAATGAATACTAACTAGTATCTTAAAACAGATCACCGAGATAGTTATGGTCAGTGCCGAAGGATATATACTTCATACAATATACCCGAGCGCGACCAATTAAACAAGGAAGATATCGACTAACCCGAACAGTGTCTATTACACGGTCAGTCATCTTAAGCCTTCTTTAATTTTTGATATCGTTTTAACTCCCAAGAACTACAGACCGAGCGGCAACCGACAATATGGCAGTAAATAAGGCAGTAGGTATACTCAAGGAAGCGGGTGTTTATACCTTAAGGAAAGGTGATCGTTAAGATGGCGTGGGTGTATATACCAATTTATTATTGGATGGCCCTAATCTCCCAATCACTAGTATTAATAGTGATACGAATACGATGGCTAGGAAGCCGCTAGCTAGCGCCTTTCCCGAAACACCTATATCCAATATGCCTAGCAGCCAATCGCTCGGAGAAGACCCAGGAAATACACTATATACCACAGTCCCTCTACTTGAAGATAACGATAAATATGGTATTTAGTATGACGCTGACTAAAGATTGGCTTATCAAGCCTTTTCAAGTGGAACTCCCGCTGCTTATCACTCGTCTATATTGGGCCAAAAAGAAAGACCGTTACTATATATCTTAATCGCCACCTTGGCGGACCTGCCTCCGTCCACAGCAAATACAACCGATGCACCCTATTCTTATTCCAATAGCAAGAGGCAGTTGAAGGATCGTGGGGATCCTATTGACGTCTCGGATAGCGAGAGGTAAGACAGCGATGACCCTGATGATGACGACTATCTTGAGGTGTAACCGGATAATGGAAGTGATAATGATAATCCACCTTGTCCACGAAAGAGGAAGAGACGGGTTCCTGAAAGAAGCCCTCCTCGCCGAAAGCACGGTATTACTTTATTCTACCCAGCTGCCGTGGCAGACAAACCTAATGCCGACGCGGATGTTCCATTAACGAGCCTGCACGATGTTGAAACTATCCCTATCCGAGGCTTTCTTACACGGTAGGTCCTACTCTTAAAGGTTGTCTACTCAGTCACTTTTGAAGAACAGCGAGAACATACCTGTTATAATGGACCCAAAAAAACCCCGGCGGATCTCGAAGATAGATCGACTTATCCCTATGCTGGAGCGAAAAGGGGAAGTGCCAAACGGCCCCGGACAGGAATTTTGAACACAATATCGCGCAAAGACGACCAGCTCTTGATCAAATTGAAGGAACAGCAGGAGTTGTCCTGGAGTGAAATTGCCGAACATTTTCCCGGCAGAACCAAAGGATCTCTCCAGGTGCGCTACAGCACCAGGCTCAAAAACCGGAGGTTTGGAAACGTCGCTAATGGTCTCGACGTGAAAACCAATTCTGGCGACGGAGCAAGAGCTCCTCGAGCAAGATACGGCCCGTCCCGAACTAGGCGCACAGTTAACAGGTATTCACCCAGTTGATAATTTATAATTATTTTCTTTTTTGGCCTTTTATAGTCAGAAATAAAAGCAGATTCATTTTCTAAGTCCCTCTCCAAGGATGAAAGGTGGTTTCCAGCACTATTCATGCAGGCCAGTTAGGGCTGGGTGCAGAACGGAAAAATGCAAAACATGACAAAAATGGAGGCCAGAAAACGAAGGCAGAAACAATGTAAGGAAATGCCGGAAAGAATGGGTCGAGATCTCCGCGCCCTCATCGAAAAGCTCCCCGCATAGCGCCGCACCGGCGAGATCTCTGTCCACAAAGCACTGCTACTTCGTTTCCTCTTCTCCTCTTCTTCTAGTCTCCTGATTGGCTCGCTCGAATCACCGAGTCCTCGAATTACCAAGATCGCCAGTATGTGCGCTGCATCTTCGCTGCACCATCCCCGGCTTCCCTGCTCAGGGCCTCGCACCGAGGAAGGCTCTCCTGCTCACACGCTCTCTGGCCGGCCGTGCCATTCGTCGAACTCGTTCAGAATCAAGGGGGTATGCTTAGACCTGGCAAGAAACCCCTGCACGCACCCGCTGATCAAACAGTCACTCCGTCCTTGAACTATGTCCTTGCTGTATCGTGATTCGGTCCCTCCGCTGAGCCGCCGGCCGGTCCTGCCTCCTTCGAATCGCTGGTTTTCTTCCCATCGCCGCGTCGTCGACCTCGCGGGATTGGCCCAGTAGGCCGGTTCTCACCATGAACCGAGCCACTGGCTCAGCGGTATCGCGATGGGTCAACAATTCGTCGCTGCCGCGCGACATCGACACATCCCTCTCGAAGGAACCGAAGACCATGTCGTTCGTACTCCCACCGGTCACCTCCCATCAGAACATTTTCGATTGTCTCTCGACCGAGGCCGCAGGCGCACCCTTCAGATCCCCTCACACTGATCTTCGCGAGATAGAAGGCCAATTTCTTGCCTGGTCGGAAGTGTTTAAGCAATTTGATCAGCGATTTGATCAGAGATTCCCGGGGAGTCTAGGTTCTATACAAGTATACTGGAGCACGTCACTCAAGAAACAGCGGCTGTCTTAATAGAGCACCTGGAATATGTGGTCTTTATCCAATAATACAAACAACGTCATGCTCTGTACAGGCTGCACTTTTATTTGTGGAAGGCAGAGGATTATTGGCTTCCAGTTATAGCATTTCTTGCTCGATCTACGAATCGTATAGCGAAGCACAGCCTCAGCTCTATCATGGCTATATATTTGTCTCCTAAGCACATCCTTATCTGGCGCCTAGTGTTGACTAGACCTATTGGGAAAGAAGCATTATCAATAGGTAAAACGAACAAGCTCTTTATTCAAAAATAAAGTCTTTATCCACCGATCCAGTTAACCAGACTTGTAGGTCTTTGAAGGCGTCAAGGTCGTTTTTCTCGAGCGAGATATCGACGGTAGGGTCGTGCCAGTGGTGAGTTCTTTTCGTCCTAGTGTTACGCAAAGATTCCCCGATATATCGGCAGCTATCGAAATCGATGAGAATAAGCGTATCGTCTTCGTTAAGTATAATATTTGCGGGGTTGATGTCGTTATGGACAATTCCAAGCGAGTGAAGATGTTTAATAGCGGCAAGAATCCCTTCTAAACCACGTTTCATATTCTCTTTCACTAGATCGCGAGCATTTGAAAGGAAAGCAACTTTGCCAACACGCTGAGGATTGACCGCTTCGAGTAACGTGGACGTATATCGTTTGAAGCATAGCCTAGAGACTCGACCGTGAGTCTCCTTGTATCCATAATAGGTCGCAATATTCGGATGGGGATTCTTGCGAAGAGTCTCATATGTTTCAACTTCGCGAGTGATTTGTTTTTCGAGATTTCTATCGACGTACACGAGGAGACTTAGTATTTTCACATAGACCGCTGACCAAGTAGTATTCACCTCTGGGTCCCTGTCCTCGGTGGGAATTTCCTTGACTACCTAGAGATCGTCCAGTGTCTTCGGCGAATCTAATCGGTTCGTCCATTTTCCAGAATATAATTTGCTGCCTTGCCGAACAAAAACCTGGATATAGGCAAATTTTATTTTGCTATCAATCCTTTTGAAGGCCTCATTTTTTTGGACAACCTCCATATCGATACGGGGTAACAGTTCTGGAGAGCGGCGCTGACAGAAACAACGTTAAGTTGGCAAAGGGGTGTGGTCTTTAAATATGCCCATAGTGCGAACTACACGTGACTTCACCTAAGGCTGTTTCCGCCCTCGGATTGATTGGTTCTCGGTGTCGATTGTCGTATTTATCCTAATATACTATAGCTGCCGGCGTTGATATATAAAGCCTGCGTGTTATGGTTCGTATCGAAGGAGCCATGTTCTGACCCGAGAACAACACAAATAAACTCTAAAATAAAAAATCTCCCTCTAGATACTCTTTCGTGGCAGCTATCACCTACGCCTTCTTTACTAATTCCACGATAAGTAGGTGAACGATTCATGGCCCATCAAGAATATCATAACTGTCGATCCATCACATACTAGTCATTATTGGGGCTAGACGACCACGGAAAAATTTCAGCGGCTGCTCTTGACTAATTTTGGATGCTGCTCCACCTGTTCCACTGGATATCGAAAGAACCTTATCCTGATACATTTCTCTAGCTATCCAGAATCTATTCTCCTCTGCTCCCCTCTGCACTCCTTCCCGTGGACGAACAGCCCTTTGTCTGTTAACTTCAGCTCTCCTATTTAGGCCGGTATGCGATCGAGTCTTCACACTCTGCATCTATGCAATCCCAGGTCTTCTTGGGTGTATTATCGGACACCGAAGACCAATGGCAGAAAACCACGATTTGAATTGGCTCTCGAACAGTTATCTGCGTATTGGATCAATCTCACGCTATACTTCCTGGTGGCAACTGGCTTACCTTGGGGAGGTCTTAAGGTTGATGTTTAATCGTACAATCAGAACTTTCGTATATTTTGGCTCGGGTTTTTGAAGAGAGAAGTTATTCAGACCAGAAAAACGCGACTTTCGTGTGATATTTATACCTTGGATTACGAACATCCGAACTAGTCTAGGTAGAGTTCAGAAGCAAGTCAAAAAAATTAAATATATTTTTAATTGTTTTCACTGGAGCCTCGCCAGAGCGTCACCGAAGCGGGGAACCCTGTCAGTTGGGGTTATTCTGAGTATTATCTAGATGGGTAAAAGCATGTACCCTCTTTGGAGCTGCAAGATGAAGGGCTAAGAAAGCGAGGGCTGTGCATCACTCGTAATTCGTTACCATGAGGCAAAGAGCACTAATGCATTGACGGACGCTTCAAGGCTCCAGAGTCTCTTGATTGGGACCCTTTCCAGTCAGATCATAACGGGCGCGTATTGCGGTCAGATTATTGGCGTGTATTGCCGGCTGAACATCGACAACCATATTCCATGTGACTTTATGTGACGTGATTATTCCACAGGGAGGCTATGCACCTCATGGTAACCCAATACGAGGGGCGGCGCACAGCTCCAGATTTCTTAGCGCTGGGCCCACTTTCAAGCTAACGACGGCGCCAGACCGCCGCGACTTAATTAGGGTCGCAAGGGGCCCGACCGAACAATATCTGCTCCGAAATATTCTAGGATGATGTTAGTCTACGACACTAAAACAAAGCTGCGGAATATTATAGTGGTAAATATAGTGGTGAAATAAATAGGGTGGTGGGATGAATAGGGTGGTGGGATAAACAGGGTAGATAAATAGGGTGGATGAACAGGGTGGATGAATAGGGTGGTGGGATAAACAAGATAGTGGGATAAACAGGGTAGCAATTACGAAAAGTCATCGGCCTAACCTTAGATCTTACAGTAACTTTGATCGTAGCCACTACTTGTTTATTTCATCCACCCTGTTTATCTCACCCTGTTCACCCTGTTAGCAGTGGACGTTTCGCTGTGTGAACAGAAACAAGACTTCGTGTGCTTATTGATAGCGCTTCGCGGGCAGCTCGCCAGCCGGGCAGCTGCCCTATATAACCCCAAGACCAGAGATATCCAGATCTTGAGGCTAGTCCTAAGACCCTGAAATACCACCAATTCCGAGCAACCCAAAGTTATGAATTGAATGTCTAATCGTATTATTATTGATGTTCAAACGATTCATTCCGACTGTGGTTCTTGAAGTTGGTCAGAATATATATCTATTGCCCTGATTTGCGTAGGGGCAGGGGCATCAAAAAACCTTTTCGGAAACAAATACGTATATCACTTATATCATGTATAGGGTGGTACTACAATCTGTGAGTATATATGGACCGCGCTTTTATATATTATAGTTTAACCTTAGATTAAGCTAGCCTGCCCTATATAGTTCTATGACAACAAGCTGCGTCTGGTTAGCGCCGCGTAATGTGTCCGAGCCGTAATATACGATGGCTCAAACACTGTTCCAATAAGCCTCTGGCAGGACCTAGAGGTAACGCCAGCGAACGTGGCCGAGGTGGCCAAGATGCTCAAAGCGGATAAGGAAAACCAGGATCTTGGTCAAGAAATCTTGTAGAATTATTCCTTTAGTCTATTAAGCATGTCTCAAGTTATTATATGTCTTAGGTAGGGAAACTTATAGCCGAGCAGGTCTTGGAATCGCAGAGGACGCTAGTTGGCGGTTCGGTGGCCCGTTAGGTCCTAAGACCGCAGTCTTAGGACCTCGTGTATCACTGGCCCTATGTCCTCTGGCTGCGGGCCATTGTCTTCAGTTCTAAATCAATGGTCTTATTTTCCTAGTCTCCAGTCCTGGGGTATGTTACCCTCTTAGTCTCTAGTCGTCGGCCTAAAATCATTAGTGGTCTTCTTACAGCGAATATATAACTCTAGTAGACTTGAGACTTCTTATATCTTGTAAACTGCTGCCGGAGATCTTTATAGACCTTGGTTCCTACGCACCAGATTCTCTAGTCCGTAGAAGGAACCGCCTCGTTGATATGATCCGGTTTTCCTATTCATTAACACTATATCGCCGACCTAACGCTATTTCCTAGATGGATTACGTTGTAACCCGACCCTTTCGCAAGGACATCTCAATATAACGACGTGGGCGAAGCGCTAAGATATGCGATTTTAACGGTTCAGCACCACCTATATTTATGCTAGTGATAGAGAGGTTGCACGGCCCTCCTTACTGAGGTTGTGGGTCGGAACTACAGGAACCAGTATCATCCTCACTGAGGATATTCTGAGCATTTATAGGCTCAGGCCACTCGCCTTAACATCGGAAACCACTCTCCTCCCCAATAAACCCTGAATATACCACATCCGGAGTGAGTCCACCTGCTGAAATACTATGCTAATAAATCGTCCTCTCAGTCCGGCCGGCCCATATTAGATCTTTCACTATGACGTCACCGTAGAGTACGATGGACATTCTAGCTTATCCCAAATATTGAATCCGAAGGTGAGCTGTAGGTGAGAATAGTAGTATAGCTAGAATAGTAGGTATATTGATACCCTCTTTATCCTGGTCCGACCCTTAAGCGCCGAACGCAATAGTATATGGCCATGATTTGCCTAAGGAAATCATGGCCTCTTGCTTATACAAGTTAAAAAATCCTTTTTACGTATTTGGAGTATTTAAAAAATATTTTGCTACCCCTATAAACAAGACTATACTTATAACCACTCTCAGTCGCATTTATAAACCATCTAGATATCGAATAGAGAATTTACTCTCAATGGCTGCTAAAACCTCTGCTCAACCCTCAGAGGAAGTGTATCAACCTATATAGAGACAGTAAGATATATACTAGGTGTAATTCTTAGGGCCTAATTCACAGAATAGCACTGAAAAAAAGTGAGTGTAGCAATCAG